GCAGGTGGCACGGACACTTGGCCGGGACCGTTTCGGCAGGGACGACGCTGCCTTGAACAGGGTGTCGGACTAGACGTGACCACGTGAGGTCCCTTCCAGCCCTAATTTCCTACGATCCTATGCTCTTGCCACCCTCCGAGCCCCAGGCCATGAGGAAGGGGGCTCACGCCAGCGACTCCCCAGTCCCAAACGGGGTTTCGGCAAAGGCAGCAGAGCGAATGGAGAGGTGCTGGGAGGAAGCCATTCGCACCACCTCTCCCACCCGCTTCCGTTTCCTGCACCGGGGCTCCTCCATCTCATTCGAGCACCAGCATACGCCTGCTTTAAACCCCCGGCCTCGCTCCCGCCGTCCCCGTCTTGTCTCGTGTTTGCCCCCCGCGCTCAGACGGCGACCCCAGCCGGCGCAGCTCCTGCTCCCGCCAGGCAGGGCACCAGGAAACACCGGGGAAGAGGAGCCGGCACCGGGCTGGGCGGACCCAGAGCACAGCACCGAGGTCCACCCGTCCCATCCGTACCGCGGGGGCAGGCGGGGACAACACCTTCCCCTTCGCCGCACCTGTGAGGCGGGGGGCCAGCTCGGTCTTCTGGAACTTGTCCTCCCAGGTCTCCTCCAGGTCCTGCGCCAGCACCACGCTGCCGTGGTCCAGGTCGTCATCCTGGTCCCTGGAACGCTGCAGCCGCTCCTCCTCGTCCCGGTACCGCACCTCGTGGTCCGACAGGTGGCTCCGCTCCGTCTCCCACTGCGGGCGCCACAGACGCGTCACGGGGCGGACACGCAGCGCCCCGGACGCGCGCGTGGGAGCCGCCATGATGCCGCCACCGCCGCCCCGCCAGAACCCACAATGCACTGCGAGACCCGGCATGGGCGCCGCCATGATGCCACCGGGGAGCCACAATGCACTGCGGCACCGCCATGTTTCCATCTGAGACCCACAATGCCCTGCGGCAGGCCTGCAATGGGCGCCGCCATGTTTCCACCCGGACCCACAATGCAGCGCGGCACCTGGCATGGGCGCCAGCATGTTGTCACTAGGGGACGCACAATGCACCAGTGTGTTTCCAACCCAGACACCCACAATGCACTGCGGAGCCTGGCATGGGCGCCGCCATGTTTCCATCCTAGGCACCCACAATACTCTGAGGGCCCCGGCATGGGCGTCGCCATATTGCCCCCCGGGACCCACAATCCCCTGCGCTGACGTTCGCCCGCGGCCGGGCTCA